TATAATTTTATAATTTTAGCTTTTGTAATAAAATTCTGGAGGGTATAAGGGTAAATTAATAATTCTGAAAATAAAAAAATTGAACAAATCTCGCAGCTAGAGAAGGTGTCATACACGCGCGGTTAACTTGGACGGAATGGGGGAACCGTGCATCGGTTACTTAAACACAAGGGGGTCTGGTGCAATTTTTAAAACACAGTGGAGAAACGCGCATATTTCGTTAAACACAGGGGGGTTTGGTGCAATTTACCCCAAAACTCACTTTACTTTGATCCTCCGGGACCAAGGGGATTTGGTGGTACCCTTGAGATGCGTCCATCATGCTCAGCATTTCGCAGCCAGCTGTGGAGTCGACTAGCTGATCGATTCAAGGCAAAGGATAGTGATCTTTTGGACACGCCAGGTTTAAGTCACGAAATTCGATGCACATGCGCCATTTGTTCAGTGCTTTCCTCACCATTACTGTGTTAGATATCCATTCGGGGAATTGAATTTCCTTGATGTGTTTGGCTTTTAGCAGCTTGTCTACCTCGACTTCAATTGCTTTGTCGATTTCAGCGCCATAGTGCCTGAGTCGCTGTTTCACAGGTTTTCTGAGGGGGTCGACGTTGAGCTTGTCCCGTCAACTCCTCAGGAGAGAAAGCAAATATGTCTCTGAATTCCTTCAACAACCCCACCAACTGTTCTCGCAACTCGCCCTCCAACTTTCTCCCGACTTTGGTGGTTTGGTCCTTCCTTTCTCCAATTTGGATCTCCATCAATTCCCCATGTGGCTCGAGGTCACTCCCCCTCGGCCTCTTCTCACTCGTCATTAGCTTCTTTCGTTCCTTGATCTCCGCCCGCTGGTTAGTTTTCACCGCAATTTGATAGCATGTTCTTGAAAACTTCTGGTCCCCTCGAGCCTCTCTCACTCGATCTCCCACGGGAAATTTCAGCTTCATGTGGTAAGTCGACACCATTGCCTGGAAAGCATTGAGCGCTGGCCTCCCCAGAATTACATTGTAAGCCGACTTGACGTCCACAACCACAAATCGCACCATCTTCACTTTTCTCCGTTCGCCTTCCCCTAGGACGATAGCCAGCATGATTTCTCCCAGGGGTGCAACCTCTGAGTCGTTGAATCCGAAGAGAGATGTATGTAGTGGGGTAAGCTCAATGTCGAGTTCCATCCTTCTGTGACATTCGTAAAAGATAACATTCACCGAACTCCCTGTGTCAACAAACACCCTTTGCACCTTGTACCCCGATATCTGTGCGGTTATCATTAAAGCATCATTGTGTGGTCTCTCGACTTCCCCCATGTCAGCTGGTCCAAAATTCATCACTGGTCCGCTTTCATCGATTTGTTGCACCTCGACTTTTGCATAACGACCTCGAGCATACGCTTTCCTTGCTCGATTCGAATCTCCATCTGTCGACCCTCCGAAAATCATATTAATTGCTCCCCTTTTCGGTGAGAGTTCCTCCTTCTCTGGTGATCTTGCCCTCTTGTGAGGGCTTTTGCTTCTTTCTCTCCTCCTGCTCGACCTTTCGCGGTCCTTGTATACAAACTCCTTCAAGTGACCCGCCTTTATCAGCCTCTCGATTTCGTCTTTTAAATGCCCGCAATCATCAGTGTTGTGCATAATCTTTGTGAAATCGACAGTATAAGTTGCTCTTGGGCTTCACTGGTCCATCCTTTCTTGTCCTTGGCCACCGCACGACATCATCTCAGATCTCCCTCTCCATCACTTCTAGAATTCTCGCGTGAGGGGCCGATAGGGGTGTGTATTGAATCAGCCTCCATCCTCTAGATCGTCCTTCACCCCTGTCAGCTCGTGGTGATCCTCTTCTTTCTCCTGTCGACTGGCTCTTCTTCTCCTTCTTGTCGTCTCGACTATCAGTCTGGGACATTTTCACGCTTTGGAAGTAGTCGGCTTCTGCTTCCTCGACGTTCATATATTTGGCACACCTTCCCAACATGTCGTCGAAACTCCTACCAGGTCGTTTAGCTAAAGGGTTCTTACATAACCCTAGTAGTAGTCCCCTCGTCAGTCCTCCTGATTTGATTTCCTTTGTTGCCGTCGGGAACTCGACCCACGCCTTTGTACCTTGCCACATATTCTCTCAACGACTCACCCTTCTTCTGCTGCATGCTAATCAACGAGAGGTAGGACTTCTCTTGCACCCTCACGCTTGCAAACTGATTGAGAAAACTCGAGCTGAAGCCATCAAAATCCTTAATCAACCCAGCTGGTAGTTGGTGAAACCAGTCCTGGGCCGACCCTGTCAGAGTCGTCAAGAAAGTGCGACATTGCACCAGGTCACTGTAGCGGTGGAGCACTGCCATGTTTTCAAAACTCCTCAAATGTCGAGACGGATCAGTGGAGCCATCGTACCAAATGTCCAACTCCCTGAAGCCTTTGGGTAAGTCGGCTCTCAGGATTTGCTGCGAGAATGGATGTTCCTTTGTTCTTCTACTCTTCCTCCCCCCGACTCGAGCCTGCAAGTCGCGGACCTGGGCCATCAACTGTTCCAACATCTCGTCCCTTGCCTGCAGATTGATAGTTCGAATGGAGGACTCCTCCTTGTCCACCCTTCTGTTCTGCTGTACATTCGACTGAGCATGCTGCTCGACACGAAGTTGTTGCTCGACCCGCGGCTGTTGTTCGACCCGTGCCACTTGATTCATATGGGCGACCACGGCTTCAGCAATCATCTTTTGCATTTCGGCTCTCGTCATCGTCAGCATTTGCTCCTCGACGAGGGGTTGCGTTTGCGTCTGCTCCAGCACCTCCTGGATCTATTTTCCCTCGCGTCGAGACATCTCCGTTGGTTCCTTCTCTCCAACGTCTGGGTTGGGGTTTTGACTTGTTCCTATCTGGGTCAACACTTGCATCTTTACTCCGGCTGGAGTGACGGGCGTTTCTCCACCCAGAGTTAACCCCGGTGGCGGAGGCCCTCCAAACGGCGGTATTCCCATCATCTGCATCACTGGGTGTCTAGGGGTGGAAAATGGTGGTGGCCTCTTGTCCCTCCATGCTCCCCTAAACTCCTCATTCAAGTTCCTCTGCAAACCTTCCTTCTCTGCCATCAACAAACAGATCGGAGCTAGGTGTGAAGCGCTTACTTCCTTCAAGAACTTCCCACAGACGGCGCCAATATGATGGGTCTACTTCCAAATCTGAAGAGAACCGGTGGATTTGAGCTCAGATCTGCTTGAACCACCTCTGAATCGTTGCTAGACCGCGAGAATACCTGCAAAAACTCAACGTCGGAGGTGTTTCCGGCGTAGATCCTCCGACGCTCAAGTCAGTATGAGTGATGAAGGGATGCTGCGCAACAGCTATGAGGGGAGTGTGGAATGAATGAGAGTTAGGGTTTAGGGTTACCTCATCTCCTTTATATAGAAGTGCATACTTACCTGAAGTACCCGAAATGCCCAAGTCGGTGGACCTAAAAGGTCCAAAATGCCCCGGTCGATTCGTCTCCCCTCCCTGCTGAGTCATCTCAAGATTTCTTCTTATCCATTAATGGTCAAGAGGTTCCAAGAAATATACCAAGTGTAAAGAGTCATCGGAATGCCTCTCGTCTCGAGGTACAAGGAGTCGACCTCGAGTATAAACGAGTCGACCCAGGATCTCTTGGTTATTCGGAGGCTACGCTCTTGTTGGTTTTCTCAGATAGATGTCGACTTTTGGGAGTCGACTGAACAATGTCGACTTCCAAGAGTCGACTTGTAGGGCATCTGCCACTTCCCGCTATCGACCTTGTTAAGAGTCGACCTGGAGGAATCGACTTCAACATGTCGACAGGTTTGTGTCGACATGACGAATCGGTTTGAGCCATTATCCGGTCGAGTAGGGTGCCTTTGGGCCGGTATATCTTTATATTGCTATATCACCATGGGATCTTGGCATATTACATATACACGACTTAATATGTTTGTGGTGGTTGATGAATATTTTTGTATTGATAATAACACATTTTAAGTCATCATCGTTTGAAGGAGATTTCTTCATTAGTTTTGAGGAGAAGATAAACTAGAGTTCAAAAAGAAAATCGCAACAANAAGGAGATCGAAGATGTGAATGTTAGATAAATTTATATGCAATTTAGAAATATTTGGTGATTTAATTGAGATATGTAATTATGTCTAGGGTCAATGTTAAGAATGAAATACTTGAAGAACTTTTATGTGAAGTCATTACAAGTTTTTTTTTTAAGTAAGGGTATATTAGTATTTACACAAAGCATTAAGAACGAGTATGACTGAACAAACAAAAAATTTTCTTTCAAACATTACGAATTTGATATTGTTATTTCGCGTGTCTTTTTTTTCTTTTTTAGCAATTCATCATTGTTTGAAGGAGATTTCTTCATTATGTTTGAAAAGAAGATAAATTAGAGTTCATAAAACAAATGAATCGCAACAAAAACCGCTCATAAAAAGAAAAATGAGATTGAACATGTTTTTGCGTTTGAATGTTAGATAAATTTATGTGCAATTTAGAAATATTTAGTGTTTTAATTGAGATATGTAATTATGTCTAGGGTCAATGTTAAGAATGAAATACTTATATACCTTTTATGTAAAAGTCATTACAAGATTATGAAATAATTCGTTCAAAATGAATTATTTTTGTTAACCATAGTTAATTTTGAAAAATTTGGTATAGTTAGTTATTAATGGAATTTTAAAAATGTATTAAAATAATATTTAAAATAAAATAATTAAAATTGATTTGATATAAATATAGGAGATAAATTATATATTGGATATGATTAGAAATGATAGGTAGTTAAAATTATGTGAGTAGATGAATAGTGAATTAAAGTTGATGTGATGTGCGAGAATGATTAGTTTGTATTATTTAATTATATGAATAATATTAAAGATAGTGGAGTTGAGTTAAAATAGAATTAGATTTTGAGTATGAGATAAAGATGAGTAAATTAACTCATAAACAAGCATGCCCTTAACGTCCATTTCAGACATAACCTGATGTTAGGAATGCACGAGCCTAAAAACAACAACAACAACAACAACAACAATATCATTCTCTTTTCTTATTGAAACATGATCAAATCACAGTATACAACTTTGATTAGAGCACAGCTGGAGAAGAAGAACGATAAGACGAAGTTAACATGACATTTTTATTGCCCGTTTCCTCATCCGACGAGTACGGATAACAAACTTTCTTCAGCTCATTATACCTCTCGATATTGAACCTCTCAGCCTTGATCAACTTCTTTTGCTTTGCCGCGAACCTACTCTGAAAAAACCCCTCGAAACTCGGTTCCTTTGATGTCCTCAAAAAGAAAGCATATCCACCCGTGAAATAAAGCGAGGTCGCGCAAAAGCAAATGGGCTCCATCACGTCCCACGATAGTTCCCAAAAGGTCAGCCTCATGAAAGTTGCGGTTTGGACAATCAGGTACGCGAGCCCACACCATAGCTCACGCTGGACCAGCGATTTCGCCTTGCTGTCGATTTCGGATTTCTTCTTCTCCAATTCACGGAGTTCTTGCATTCTTGAGTCATCTATGGCGGGGGCTGGTGTGGGAACAGGGATTAGTCCTCGCACCGCTTTCACCAACTGTATCCAAAGACAAAAATTGCACACAACCTTTAGTAAATATGGCCGGCCACCCTTTTNCTCTTCTTTTTTAATCTTATTATTCTTCTTCTCTGGGCAGAAATTAAACAAAGTAGTAAATTGGTCAAATATGACGAGCCCTGTAATTTGTTGACACCAATAATGATTATGACAAAACTCAAACCACACACACGTCACAATCCAAGACTTTCTTGTCCATTTTTCTATATTTTCTATGTTCAGGTGTTCACCCCTACCCCATATCTACCTTATTTAAACATTATTTTTGACTCAATGCATAAAACATGGGAAAATGCATGAACAATCAAGTGTAATACTTAATTAATTACAGAAACTCCCTTTTTCTTTGACACAATTAGTTCTCAATAGTCAATAGTCTCCAAAATCAAAACTCAGAAGAACAAAATAAACAAGAATGAATTCAAGTAGAAACAAAACACTTAACATATTTTCAGCGCAATAACAACTAGGCCCCATCATAAAAATCCAGAGGAAAAATTGAAGTATTAGCCCAAAAATATTGAAGAAAATGGACCGACCTGTTCAGGCCTGAGGAACACCGTGTTCCCGAGAACAATCACGTTCCCCGATTGATCGAGCATCTTAGCGAATTCCAGCCCTTGATCAACGCTCGAGCAATCCCTAGCACAAATTTGCACAAATTCAGGGTAAGGGATACAGTTCCTCTCGATCTGCCTCAGCCTAGATTTCACCGCCTCAAGCTGAGACAGCCTCAGGATCTTCACGGCGTCCTTCACCGTGATCGCACCCTCCGGCGGAGACTCCTTCTCCTCCGCCTCCGCCTCCGCCGCGGGCGGCGGCCTGAGGGCGTCCAGCCGGATCCTCTGCCTCGCAATGTCCATTCCCCGGAGCTTCTCCAGAAGCGTCTCCCCGCTCGGGAGGAACCGGAGATCGGCCGCCGCCGCCGCCGGAGGCGATTGGTTGTTGAGGAATCGTTGGAAAACGCCGTCGTCGCCTGGATCTGAGGCGAGACTGCTCGTCGCTCCGGCCTGCGCGGCGGCGAACGGCGAGGAGATCCGGCAGTTGGTGACGGCGGCGTTGGTGAACCTGGAAACGCGGAAAAGGCGCTGTGGCAGCATTTTGTTGAACACCGTGAAGCTTGAAATTTTTAATTCAGATGATTAATTAATTAAATTAGGAAACATAATAAAAAGCAAAATGCGTCTGAAATGGCTCCACTGTGAAACTCTTAACTCGAGGGCTATTTATAGCTAACCCTAAAGATAAATAAATGAATAAAGATTAATATTCAATGACTACGAAAATTTCATCAAATTACTGGAAGGCCCCAATATAGTGGAACAGAATAGGAAAAAAAAGGTAATATATCGTCTCGTTTTCTCGTGACTCGCAAGTAGGTTACCGTTTCGCGCGAGATGATGTGATTAGCGGACATGTGGATGGCTAAGGATGAAGTGACGTGTTATGGATTAAGAAAGTCAAATAAAAAAAAAAGTCAATAAAACTTCACTCTTGGGTGGGAATCTTCGGTGTATTAACGCGAACGCGTCGCCACATAAACATTTAATCGGATAGATTTTTAATTGTTGCGAATGAGATGGATCCGAGATATCATATTATTGCTATATTTTTATCACCAATGTATCAACTCAGATCAGATAGTCTAGTTTTAACTTTTAAGTTCACTCTATCTACTCAACTTGTATTTAGCCGTTTAATTCACGGGACAATAATTATTACTTACATGTATTAAAATAATGAAACAATATTGATTAATACAAAAATATTTTTGAACACTGATATTTTTTTTTAATTTTATGATTTATAATAATTTAATATATGAATTATATGTTTATTTCACTCGTTATAAAATAATTGCATTTTAGAGTTCCTGTTTATAATTAAGGATATTGAAAAATTAATATTTTCAAATATTATTAATAAATTATACGCACAATATATTTCTCTCTCTATCTTCCTTTACCCATATCTTATTATAATATTACTAGTACGTGGCCCGTGCGATGCACGGGAAAACAATATTACGATTGTATTACAAATTAAATATATAAATAACATTAATCATGATTTATCCATTGTTTTTAAATTAAACCGGGTTGGACACAATCCGACCGGATGGATCGAGAACCGGTTTATAACCAGTCTAGTTCGGCGAATAAAATATTCGCTCTCGAATCCGTCAACACTAGTCGGTTGGACTGGTAGGATCGATACGATTTTCTAAATTAATTTTGTTATATTTAAAATTATTTTAAATAAATTACATATTTAAATAAAATATAGATTTATAAATTTTTTATCAATAAGTTTAAACATTTGAATTAATAAATTGTTTAGATATCTAAATAACACATTTTATTTGGATTTATATATATATATATATATTAAAATATTTATAAATTAAACTCTGAACAAACCACAAATGATTTAATAAAATAGTTTGATCGTTTCGATGACGATGAAGTTCTGAAAACCTTATATTTACTATACATTAATAAATATTATAATAAATATTATTTAATTCACATAAATATTAATAAAATGATATATAAATATTCATAAATCATAAAACATGTTTTCATAAAATTATTGTTAATACGATTATTTAAAGTTTGGACTACATCACATTCAGATAATAATATTTTCAATATAAAATTTATATTTTGGTTCGATAATCGATTTGGTGTGGTCGAACTGATACATAACTTAGTCACCTAGGACCAACCAAGCTGTGTCAAGTTTTTTGACTATTTTAAATATCACCTAAAAATAATTCAATCAACCTGAGCAGTACCCTAATTCAATCACCCGATTGATCCAAAAAAAATTTCTTATTTTCTTTAAATATATTTAATTTTATGAAATAAAAATATTTTATGATTCATATTATAAATGTTTACACTAAATGATAGTTTATTAAGTTTATAAATTATATATCTAAAGAGGAATTAATTATTTTTACTTTATGCATATTACTAAAAAATAAACACAGTAATTTTTTCAAAAAATTAAGATTAATTGATTGATTATGCAATTTAAAGAATATTTTTAGCGTTCAATATTTTTTTTAAAGGCACAAATATAAATACCGATATTCTAAAACTTTTGTTATATTTTGAATTGAGATTTTAAAAATATAGAGACCCAGATTTTAATGTTATTCGTTGTTTCTAAGAAAAAAAATAAAAATAAAAACGTACACACTTAATAAATCTTAGCCGGATTTTTTAACTAATAAATTAAACTAAAGCCCGAAATTTAAGGTAGAATTTAATGCAGTATGATTTTTAAAGGAAAAAAAATAAGAAAAATAATAAAACTTACTATTTATAGGATGCATTAAATTCTGACCTATTTTTTTGTTACTATTTTTGGTAAATGGTAATTCTTATTATATACACACACACACACACACACACACACACACACACATATATATATATATATATATATATATATATATATATTTCAATTTCTAAATAAGTTATGCTAAAATTAAAAAATTGTGCAAATATTATAAGCAACTCTTAATTGAAAAGGACTAATATATATTATTTTGTACTTAAAAAAGTTATTAATTTTTAATTACGTCAATATTATTTTATTTTTCCTTATAATTCATAATCATGTATATTACAAATATTTTAAATTTTATTTCTAATGAATTAATTTATATAAAATTTTTGTGATAGTGTGAATCGCAAAAGCTGGTTCAGTGCAGTTGTTGATAAAATCAAAAGTATTTTGAACTCCTTGAATAGATGATTATTGGTATATGATTTGTTACCAATTGAATAGAAAATTGGAAGGATTTGTTGTTAATTGAGATATCAATTCTATTTTAATATTGTGCTAGTTATATCAATAAGATTTTTTCAAATAATTATTAAATTTATTTTGTACTGATATTTTGCAATGTTCTCATGCATATTTCGACTTACATATAGCTAGATGTCCAACAAAGCAGGAAAACGCATAATTTGTTATTATGGATAAATACTGATTTAGTATTAAAGATAAATAGTTAAATTTCTTTTATATTATATAAAAAAATATAATTGATTTTCCAGGTTTGGTGAAACATGTTTTTTTAAAGAGGTTGATGGAATAACCTGAAGTAGTAACTTTAACTTTGTAATGAAATAATTTAACATGCTATTAAAGGAAATATAGTAAGAACTATTTTAGTATTTATAAAAAAATGAAAATCAAATTATACCCACTTGTTGTAAATCATGCAATTCAGTTAATAACAATATTTCCTACATAAATAAAGTGGTATCGATTTTGAAAATTATTTTGTGATAATTATCGCGATAAAAAACCGATTCTTCATATTAATTATGAATCACTTTACTTTCTTATTCTTTTGGTAACCAACCGTATAATATGTTTCAAAAATATTTCTATGAAATAGATTTTACTTTTTAAAATTTTAGTTGAATATGCACGATAAAATTAGAAATATAATTACAAAATAAAAATTAAATTTTATTATGATACTTATTACAATGGTACAATAATCTTATTTATCAACATGAATAACAAATTAGAGTGATTTCTTACTCATTTGTACTATCTTCAAAAAATTACTTAATCAAGAAGATTAGTTAAGAATCCTTTGATTTATCAATAACTCAACCGATTCAGTTTTTTAAAAAATGTAAACGTAAATTTGCACTATCAAAAGAAATTTAACTATTTAACATTAGTAGTAAAACAATATTTATCCTTAATAACAGATTATGTATTCTCCTATTTTGTTGGGTATCCAACCATATGTAGACCGAAATATGCATGAGAACATTTCAAATTATAAGTACAAAATAAATTTAGAAATCAATTACAAAAATATTATTGAAATAACTACCAAAATACTAAAATAGAATTAATATCTTAACATTAATGACAAATCCCTCCGAGTTTCTATTCATTTAGTAACGAGCCATATACCAAAAAATTATCTATTCAAGGATAGCAAAATATCCTTTGATTTTATCAATAACTACACCAAATCAGTTTTTAAAAAATCTATATTGCGATTTACAATATCATAACAAAACTCATATAAATTGAAAAATTAGAAAAAAAATTAAAATATAATATACATTATTATAATTATAAGATACATTAGTATAATTATAAGAAAAAATAACATCATAGTGACGTAATTAAAAATAAATAAAATTTTAGATTAAAAATAATATATTTTACAGTCTTTTTTTAATTAAGTTTTGATTACAATATTTACCTCAATTTTCCAACTTTAGCATAACTTATTTAAAATAAAATAATATATTGTCATAAGATATGAGTAAGAGAAGATAGTGAGAGATAAATATTATGTGAGTATTGTATATTGATAATGTTTTAATATGTTAAATTTTTCATTGTCCTCAATTATAAATAGGAACTCTAAAATGACAACTATTTTATAACGAGTGAAATAAATTTATATATCATATATTACATTATTATATATCATAAAATAAAATAAAAAATAATATAAATATTCAAAACTATTTTTATAATAATCAACATTCCTTCATTGTTTTAGTACATGCAAATCATAATTATTGTCCCGTGCACAACACAAACTAAATACTAGTTTGCAAAAATATGCTCTGACCCTCTAACCTCAACTATTTATTGTGCTCAAATCTATACATCAACAAAATCAATACTAGCTCTTGTTCTTTTTAAATATCATTTTAGCTTTATCAACCATTAACCAAATAAATTATGTTTTGGGTCTTGTACATATTTTTCCATTATTACCTTATTTAGCTAATAAATACACTATGCATTTTCATATTCACTCTTAATTTTTATTTTATTAACTAGTATTCGATCCTGTGCACATGCATAGAGGGAAACAAGCATTTATATATTATATGTCCGTGTATGATATTTAAAAATTCAAACGAGATAAAGTGTATTACATTTTAAAAACTTTACTATATGTAAATGTATAATATAAGTATAAATTATTTAACTTTCATATAAATCAGCTTTTTGTAACTATAATACAAAATAGGAATATTAACTGTAAATAATTTAATATTTTATATTCAGAAAATTTTAAATCTTGTAAAGCTATTAAAGAATAAAAATTATTAATAATAAGATTTTACTTGTGTAAGTGTCATTTGAATGCTGGTCATAAAGATTTTTATTAAATAAGGTTCTATTTTTATTAATTGCTGGCTGAATAAAATTTATTGAAGGCTGCCAACAATTATATATACTCGAATTCGATCATGTGCACATGCACAGAGGGAAAGAAAAATTTATATATTATATGTACGTATATGATATTTAAAAATTTAAATTAGACAAAGTGTGTATTAATTTTAAAATTTTGATTATATGTAAATGTATGATATAATATAAATGATTTAACTTCTATATAGGAATATTAGATGTAAAATAATTTAATATTATATATTTAGAAAATTTAAAATCTTGTAAAGTTGATACAAAATAAAAAATTAATAATAACAAGGTTTTACTCGTTAACTGTCATTTGAATGCTGGTTATAAAGTTTTTTGTTAAATGAAGTCATATTTTTATTAATTGTTGGCTAAATAAAATTTATTGAAACTTGTCACCAGTTATATATATATATATATATATATATATTCACTAAAGAGAGTTATTATTGGTAATAATTATTTTTTTAATTATTATGCAACTTTTCAAAATGACATATATTATGAACAAGAGGAAGTATATGTTTGTCAACTCTGGACATGCATGTACACTTCTGATATTTTCTTATTTATTATATCAAGTCAAACCTATCGTTTAATGTGTGTTTCATATGCTAATTATATATATATATATATATATATTTTTTTTTTTTCCATTTTTATATCCCAAATGTATGTGCTTTGATGATAAGTATACAATTAATCTTGTTTATTTCTTTCTATCCCACATGATTTTTGGACGATGACGGTTATAATGTCTTTTTACACTAATAAATTAATTCAAAATATATCTTGATTAAGCTATGGCTATAATTATTTATGTATAAGAACAATCACAACTAGGCGTACAGCATGAATTATTAACTTCAACAAAAGATGTGATGGCTATTTTAAATTAATCACAGCATATGTGAAAATGCTAGAATTCGCGATTTCATGAGGGGCGCGTAAGCATATGATTTGGTGGGTGGGATTTCAATTTATGGAATTTACTAATCTTTTAGCTTCAATTTTCCCCTGGTTAAACAATGGGTCGTGTGACATATAAATTTAGAATTTAATGCCGTGCAGATTTTTTGGAGATGAAATTGTATCCACAAATAAGACCTTTGAATACGAAAGAATACAACG